TATTAGGTATATATTATATGTGTAAATTACGAATTACGTTTTTATTATACATTGATGATCGAATACGATTAAAAATGTACTTTGAGATAAAATGATCGAAATTAAAAATTGAGCAATACTACATTTTCTCTAAACGTCTAAGCCGGGACGCGAAGTCCAAAACCGGTGAAAATCCCGGTTTTTCGGGACGTATGACAACCCTAGTGTACGTACGCGCATCCGTTCACGCGCAGCACTAAAAAACCAAAAACGAACGGATCGCGCGCGCCCTTATAACTCCTTTTCAGGATAAGCGTGGGCGTACGGCGGTCACTGGGAATCACAATAGTAGAAAAAAAAAACGCGCAGGTATACAGCCGCGTACATATGCTGGAGGCGATTGCGGTGGATTCGGTGGTCGGCCTCGTGACGGAAACCGTCGAACGGAAATGATCGTCGGAGATAAAAAACGGAACGATTTTGAAACACGGAACGAACAAAAACACGCGCGCCGTGTCGCGGACTCGTACGCGATGCGTAATACGATAACAGCGATCGTCCCGAGCGTTCGGTGCCGCCAACGCGATCGTAACAACACACGTGTACGTTTTATTTTCGGAGACGTTGCGCGACTTCCAGTGGACGAGAAAACGATTGTTGCGACGGTAACGAGACGACCGCTACGGTTTGCTGACGCGAACCGGTGCAGATCCTTATCGTCACGTCCGAACGATGACGTTCTACGACGGTCCTGTCCTCGTCCTTTCGCCCGGCACTCGTGTAGGTTCACCGCCACCGTGTACGAGTGTTGTCCGGACGGTTATCGGACACCGCGACCGAGCCCCCACATGGCAAAGTACACGGGTTTATTTGGTTGTATAATTTTTTTTTTTATTTTTCCATTTCAAAATTCTTTCGGTTCGGTTCGCGTTCCCGGGCCGCACGTTTGTGTCGTTACGTTGGACCGATGTTTAAACGTCGGAAATATCCGTACGTACGTTGCACAGAGCGGTTCACGAAGAAAGCCCGAAAACGTTTCCCGTGCCACCCACCTTCTCCCCGGCGCGACGGTTCAACAATATATTCGTCCACCGTAACGTCCGATCACCAGTCCTCGGATTATTAACTTCCGAACCATCGGTCTGCCGAGGGACGAAGTGCGGTGGGATCAAGTCGTCGACGGTCCGGTGGACGGTGGCAGTGGCGATGGACGTTTCGTCGACGTACGGTTGTAGGAATGTCCTATTGGAACAAAACGACTGCGACGTTCCGGCAATGTTTCGTAACGTTTAACGTACAAGTTTTGCACGCATTACGGCGTTCTACGAAGATCGTATTATGTTCCGAAAACACCTGTACACATTTGGTATTCGGACGCATCGAAATCTCTCCTCTTCCGATTCGTTCCGCGAATCGGCGAAACGCGTTCGAAATTAGGCGACCCGTCGGTTTTCGAAACGCCCTGTATGTCGGAAGCACATCATTGCCGGTCGCGATCCTCGTGGTCGGGTTAGTGCGCGCGCGCGCCCGTCGGTAATTTAAAATGTTCCGGAAACATGACTTTTAAAAAAAAAAAAAAAAAAACATACAAACGTCTTTGTGCGTGTAGATAGTTTATACGTACACAAACGTTATCGTCCGCGTGTACATATTTCATTTTTTTTCTAAACGGGTCGCTGGAACGAGACTTACAACAATATTTCATTTTACCCGCGGCCGCGGCTCATTTACGTCGGGCCGGAACAAGCCGATGATTTTGTGATTACCATCGCAGCCGCCGCCGCAGACGAAGACTGAAGTCACCAGTCCTCCGTTGACACCGTATCCGGGGGTCCGATCGCGTTGTCGATGCACGCGGGACGCACGAAAATATCAACACAATACGTACGCACACGGCCTACACGTGCACGCGCGTCGGGTAATACATTACGTTTCGTACCCATTACCGTTGTTACCATTGTTGCCGTTTCGGTTACCGAAATCGTGTACGGAGACGAACACGGTTTTCCGTCCACGTCGACAAGACTGTCCGTCCGGCGCGCCTCTTCTGCTGCGACGAAAATGTCAAAATCGGCGTTGTACGTCTTTTTACATCGGTACGGTTCATATCACACTTATCATAAATGTTTTCGACTGAAATTAATTGCGTAGCAAAACGGTTTTCGTGGCCATCGTTCGTACATATAATCCCCTAAATCAATTTACAGTATGCATTCTGTTTGACGAATCGTAAGAATTACTGAACGTGATCATTTTCAAACTGCAACCGAGCCACTTCACGTTCAATAGTGACAATTTTTTTTTTTTTTAATAAATGATCAAACGGTTTCGCGACTTTATAATGAATTATTTTCAAGAAATCGACCATATAGCCGTGGGAGTACGAGTCGTAACACTTATTTTTTAACGACTTTCCGTACGAAATTCAACATTATTTCCAAATATATTTTAACATTTTTATCGTTTGCACTAGATGAAATGTAGAGAAAATCGACTCGCCGGTTAGTTCGGCTGTCGTTTACTATTTATGTCAAATTTTCAGTCGTTGTCGCCATAAAACTTTAAATAACCGTTCCGACGCTCAAGTTTGATTGCAGAAAAATAAAAAAGCAATAAAAACATCATAGGAAAAACCAATACGCACTTGATCGCTGTGAAAGTTGAGACCTTCGACATTGTCGACCCGGCAGAATGCGGCTACGGGAGTTGGCCGACGGACTCGTGAAATAAACGTCGTGATACGTGCCCGATCTTCGACCAGTTTAACGTCACGTATCGAGTGATCGAATCGAGATTCGATCACGATAATGATGATGATGATGATGTATGATACGAAAAACTTTCAGTGTTTTTGTTTTTAACATTTTCCCCGTGCGCTGATCATTAGCCGTTTCGCAATCGCGATCATTAAATCACAGTTTATCGCAAATTATTATTTTTAAGCGCTTGTTACTGGTCCGATGGATTCGACCAAACCACCGTCGAATACGTGATGGTTAAGACTTCGCAGCATGCATACACGCGATCGAATGTGATCCCGCACCGTTGAATCGATAATAATTATGCTGCCGCATTCGGATGATAAATGCACGAATTAAGTACAGTGAACGATTACATGTTTCGTCTTATATGTTGATGACTATTAGCCGATACATAATTGTAGGCTGAATAGAACGAACCGGGAAGACAAACAAATTAACCAACACAATAGTAGTGTCTGCGTCGAATATAAAGACATTTTGACCAATAAAATGATAATTTACTTATCGAACGTGAAAATTAATAATTTAATTGGATTAAGTAAAGGTAAGGTAGGGTTAAGTTAAAGTAAGTACTTACATAATACTGTATAGCTTACGAGATGATGTATAAATTTCCATCGAAATGTGTCTTATGAGATAAGATTATATTATAGGAATTCAAATATGAATAAAATATGTAAGCACTTACAGTAATATCCGGGAGTGTAATTTTAGTAGTTATATATCATACGCGTTCGTCAATTGTCGTTTGAACATTTCAATATTGTTTTAAAATGTTAAACTGAATTTTGTGAGCTTATTGAAATTATTCAAAATGAAATAATATTAGTCGAAAATAAATAATTTATTAATGGTTTTGTCGTGTTCAAAAATACCGGGAATTCAAAAAACTTACAAAAAATAAATCATAATTCCGACTGTTTTAACTCTTAAAAATCAATTTATATCAATATATCATATTTTGAAAATGTTCATCCAAATTTTAGTCATTTAAAAATTAAAACTGTTGTATGTCAATCAATATATTTTTTTGACTTTTTAATTTGTCAGCAAAACGATGTCGGTGTTATGTACCATACTCGATAAGACCGTTCGGAATTATGATAGGGGTGAAAGATAATTCGGTTTTCCATCAGAAACGAGTGTGTCAACGCGTTCTAATAATATTTTTCGTTAAATCGCCATCGACTGTATCGCAATACTGCTGTGTTTGAAACGCAGATGTCGCGTATAATAGTATTAACATAATACGGCTAATAACCCGTTCAACTATAACGAACGCGTTAATTTTCACAGGACCGATGGGTACGCGGAGGAACACAATTCTTCCTGTCGACGATCCGTTTCGATGTTTGTTTTCGCAAACCATCGATTGCGTGTGATAATTGATATTTTTATTATAATTGATAATGATATTTTTATAATCAACAAAGTATACACTTACCCAACAGAATCATTAGGGCTGTGTACGCGCCGCGCGTAGCGTACTTGCACACGTTAATTATTATTTATAATTACCCTCTTCGATATTGACCGGACGGAATATTATTATCATTATTAGTATTAGTATTATGTATTTTAATATTAATGATAGACACCGGCTCCGAGTATTATTATAATATATTCGTTATTTGTTTTATCATGACTTATCGGGAACGACCATCAGCTGTACGCACCGGTGTAAAAAGTATGTAATTTTAATTTTAGTCATAATAAATAATAACAACGTGCTTAACCTACCTGCATACTCGAATACACGGACAAACAATTAATGTTTATCTAAAAACGTTATAATGATTTAGGTCTTTAAGTAACGTAATAACTACAGCGTGTACAAGTATAATTAAATACTTCTCCCGGGATAATGTTACATGAATTATAATCCTCACCAATTGTGTGTTTACACACGTTCGGCATAATGAAAACCCAATAAACACTTGGTTAACTTAATCTCGAAAAGTAATTTTTATTATTACTATTACGATATCCGTTTGAACGAAAACGAAAAAAATTACATAATTCATTCCGAATGATTACACTGATAATGGTCGCCGTAGCCCCAGGGCACGACGTGCCTGCTCAGATCGAATTCAAACAGGTTTTATTGCGTTATACACATTTTCGTTATTATTTGTCCCCCCCCCCTCCACTATCCATCCCCTCTGGCTACGGTAGACAATACCCTCTCTTAAAATATTCGATCTATCCGAGCACTGTCAAGACCAACGCATTTGCCATAACATGCAGTAGTGGCGTTTTTCGAGAAGAGGGCAGTGGCTTGAAAATCTGAGTAAATGGCAATGTCTAACGTTGGGGCCTCAAGACTAAAAAAGGGGCCGCATCATAGGTGTAAACTTCAAGGGCGTTTTTAATATGTTATGTAAAGATAAAACGTATCCCTGCTTCCCCAGAGTCAGATACGTCAATATTATGGTGTACGCATCCATCGTAAGGTAAGCATACGTTTAATTTACATTTCAAAAACGTTTCGCCGCCCTCCTCCGCACTCTCACGGTCATCGGTGCACGTTTCATTGCGCTCGGGCGGAAACCATTACAAGTTTTTAACGATTCGACGAAACTGCGATTTGACGGTGTGCAGTTTTAAGCATCGAAAACTTCGGAAGACGTCGTGCACTCGTTTCGGAGGATCACATCGTCGGTCGAGCCTCAACGGATTTTAACGCCACGCATAAGTGATTGGGTCATTTTGGTATAGGCACGTGCGCGCGGGGTCGTGAACAAATATTGCGCCTACACGTACTTGTCAGGTTTGATTCATTAGAAAATTCCATCATCAACGTTGTTAAGTCATTGGAAAATGTATCGTTCGTAATTATTTCAAGAACAATCGAATAGGTCACGAATAAAATATTCGAACGACACCATTTTATTTAAATGGAGTATTCTTCTTTTAACCGTCCATATCTACGAAAACGTCTGTGGCGGTTGGCAGAATAGGCTTGACGCTTTCGCGAAACTTGTTGAATAACTCCTAGATCGGCCGGTCAATATTGCATTTCGACGGTCGCTCCACAGAACCGATTAACGGCTGTTTCGTGTGATGTAATTATGCAAAAAAATACGTTCAACGACTTATTCTGGATGCAACATCACACGTAATTTTTGTCCGCAGCGGATTACGCTTGATTTGAATACGTTGGATCGAACCCGTATGCTATAAATCATAATCAAGGCCGTAAGTTGGCCATACTTACTGTTCAGAAACACCTTTATTTTTGATAACGTGTAAAGTTTTTATTTTGTACACGTAAGCACGTATAAAATTGGGGAAAAATTGTTAAATTAAATAAATAGATATACAATTAATAATTAACAATATAATCTCGTTTTCAGCAATTTTACGTTGTCGAGTGCCTGGAGGAAGACACTTCACTTTGTCTAAAATCGTATTTATTTTCCTTGAGGGAAAGATCTTTCGAAAACGTTCACAATCTCCTCGGAATTTACAGTAAAGTTGGAATGATTGTTGTCAAGTTAGGGAAAGAAAGCTACAAGTTGATCGCTTTATTTGTTTTTTTCTCGATAACACTCTTATATATTAAATTAAACTGACAATAAAATCCCATTAAAGTTTAAAAACTAAGGATTTTTTATTAATTTTGATAAACACGAACTCGTAGATAGGATGAAACCCAATTTTATTAGTTGTTAGTTACATTTACTCTAAGACTATGATAAAATAAACCGAACCAAGTGGCCATATAATATGGTTTTTTTTTTAACATTGTTAGTATACATTGTATTTAGAACTAGACCGTTTTGCCTAATTTACGCGGACGCCCATATTAACCGGTGCCCGCATCAGGCGGATTCCACTGTAATATTATCGCTGCGAAAGTGTATTGTTTGATGATCGTGTCGGTGAAAACAATAAACCTATGAAGAATGAACGAAAAGCCGAAAGATTTTTTACCGTGCGCGAGCGTCTTTTAATTAGGCCATCAGTATTCATGAGCCGAAACTCTTTCTCTTTCTTTCTCTCTCTCTTTATTTCCCCTTCTCTCCCAGGTCACTTGGGCATTCCGTACGACAACCGCGGCGACAACGACCACGCGAAGAATCCATTCTTCGGGCTTGTCAACCGTTCCTTTGTACGCGACGATATACGTGGTGTTATAAATTATTTCCGTTCCTTTATGATGACGTCGGGAGTGAAAATCCCCAGCGGCCGCGAGGAGAATACGACTCGGAGAGTTGATGACCGGAAGAGTATGCGATGGGAGGGGCAGGGGAAATAAAAAAAGAAAGGTCGAATCATGTCGCCGCCCGTGCACATGCGTGGGAGAGTATTGTGCCGGTGAGAATTGACGTCATGGCCATCGAATCGTCCCGAGAGTATGGAGGAAGGGACTTGGTGGTCGTTAAGACGTGCGGCTATATCGTGCGCGTGCAATATCATGGAAAAAATGGCGGGGGGAAAAGGAGAAAAACGACATCCTTGAGCGCGAAAACGAGTGTTCCGTGCGAAACTAACGTGCTCGAAGGTGTACCCACACGTCCGACTCAGCCCACTCGGTGCTGTATAGACGTAAAATTTCCTACAAATAATTTCCGACTATGCACATCGTCATAGTGCGATATATGCTCGAGTTCGGCGTGCTATAGCAGGCGCAACCAGGAGGGCACAATAGGGTTTGTAACATCCTTGAGTTCAAATGTTGCACTCCTGTTTTTATCAGATCTACATAATCCATAGTTAAACACCGTTTAATTTTGTTTTGAGCTATTTCAGCACCCCAATATTTGGGCTCTAGTTGTGCCCAAGCGTTAGTTTCGAGACCGGCCAACCTAAAAACGCAGCCGTCTTACGTGTGAGTGGAAATTTACCTTGTGGGTTAGTCTGCACACGGTAACGCGCTCGGCGTTTTCCAGGACGTGTTGGATTTCGGTAGACTCGGAGTGTTGCGAGACGAATACAGAAAAACATTTCCATCGGAAACATCGTACTACTACGTTCTACCGAGTACAACAACTCATTCTGTTCGACTACAAGACCACGAGAGTGTCTGTTGTTGAGTGCCCGAACGGATGACCGGAGATAACAGTTTACCCTCATGATTACGATTAGCGTAGGAACAACAGGATATCAGATGCGTGGAAAACATGACTGAAACGAAATCCGATCACGTCGTTATTCGAATTCTCGGTTGCACTAATTTCAACAATCTGTTTCGCTTTTTCTTTAGATTCGGTAAACAATCCGTGAAATAAAACAAAGCGGTAACAAGATATGACCGCCCCAGTACACAAATATCACATATTAGGTTAAACGTTCCGAATACCCGGTCATACCGCTGTTCGTTACTAGTCCATTTATACCCGGTATTTCTTAATTGCGGACCAATTGATGACAACCACGTGAGCTACGAAAGCAATCTAAAAATGCAACGTACCAATTGCGGACAAAACTGTAGCATACCGCTTGCGGATCGTTGTCTTTGATATGAGCGTAATTGTTTAAATTCAAAGGACATGCATTTAAGATACCACATCACTCTGTACCATGAATCAAAATATATTTCAATAATTTTCATGATTGATTTAAAATATATTTTAACCCTCGGCCGGTGCGTCTAAAATTAAAAACCCTAATTTTTTTTATTAACGGAGTTATACGTTCACCCCGATTCATTAAGTGCTATCCACAATCAGGACCAACGAGAGGGCAGCGGGGCAGGGAGTGGTAGTGTCCCGAGGCCCGTACCTCCAAAAGGGTCCGTCGTCTCAGCTATTTATACAAAATTATTTTATAATCTCTTTCGCCGTAGCATAAGATGCACATTTAATATTTTTATTCTATTAATATATGTACAAGTAGTAAGTAATAGTGGTCTTAATACCCGAGTACCCGGGTACCCTTATTTTACGGGTATTACCCGATTCACAAAATTTCGTTTACCGTTATATATTGGGTATCCGTTATGGTTTGTATACTCATTACCATCTAGATAACAATTAAAATTTGTCCTTTTACTCCAAATGGTTCGGATTTTAATCGTTCAATGATAATGTAAATTTTTTTTATTTATGATACAAATCACAACAGTTTATTTTTACATGATAATAAATGTTATCTTTGAAAAATTAATTATTTAACTATAATATAAATATTTTATTAATAACTCGCTTACATAACCGTTTACGTACATCAAAAACTATCGAGTACCCACTACCTGAAAACATTGGCTAACCACAAAATCGGGTATTACCCGGAAAAAACTTGTACTCTGGTACCCGGTTATTACCCACATCAAATCAAAAACACTAGTATGTCCTGGCCAATCAACTGTAAGTAATGGGGGCCTGGAACCGATAAGCCCCGTGGCTCTCAAAATTTCTCACCGGCTCTGCCCACGATCCGCAGACACTTTTATGGAAATGTCAGCTTTTTCATATAATTTCCAATACCAGGAATTGACAGTAAATAACGCATATAATAATTTTTACCACTGATGCATAAATACGATAACTCCGAAAATAACCGTAGGTGGACTTTCTGTTCTAGAATCGATAGAACACTTGCATAATATATATTTAACCAGTTCGATTCAAACACAGTAAATTCCATCAGACCAGTGATTTCGTTTAATTTTGCTTTTCCACAACGCTGGTTACCGCTCAAACGCTTTTCGGTGTTCTCTTATTGTTTTATTACGTCGGAAAATGATTTATTCAAAACACCATATGGTATTTACTTTATTCATATTTATAGTTCCACAAAGCAATTAATTATTACTATATCGTTTGACCGAGTTTAAGCACAAAGAGAAATTTAATTTTGTATACATTAAACGGTTCTTTTAACCCCTTTGTTTTTTTTGCCGTATTAATAGTTTTGTTAATATCATAATTGCCATTTTCAACATGCACTTAGATCGGACGGATCGATAAAAAGCAACATTTGCATACGGAAATTAAGATAAAGTTTTATATGCAAATTTCGAAACTATTGTTGAAATTTCACGATTTCAATCTAATAAAATGTAATAACGAACACAAACGATACGGTTGCGTGGACCATCGAGCGGTAAGTAGAAAAAATAAATAATAATATGAAGGCTACCGTGTGCGCCGGCGTGCGACGTTCAAATACAATTCGCGCGTCGCTCCGGCGATGGGATTTGTAACATCTATAATTTTGTTGCCGTGCAAACGGTCGACGAAAAAACGTTTTACGCGTTAGAAAAAGGAACCAGAAATAATTTCGTCGTCCGGTGGCATACGGGGCCGGCGCGAAGCGATCAATTAAAATGAAAAACGACTTTCGGCCCGAGCGTTTGCGCGTCGCGAACGCTCATGTCCTCGCGATAATAACGTCGCGTTCGCGTACCGCACAAACGCGCGCGCGCGAGACGACGACGGAAATAGCCGCGCGTTTTCGTCGATCCAATCAGTCGCGCGGCGCTCGCGACTGTTTAAAATTATAACGCCGCCCCGGAAACCGTTCGCCAACGAAACGGATGTGTCCTTCGTCGGACGCATATTGTTCCGCCGTAAATATACATAGTAATAATAATAGTAACGATCACGTTAACGCGCGCTGTTGTAACGCCACGAAAACAAATTAAAAATAAACTCTCGCTCGTACGTACTGCGAGTAGGTACCGTGCGCACGACATTATTATTTATTGCTCCGGTGCACTTATGCGCGCGCGCATTGCGCAGCACCCGGGAAATTATAGTTGATAATCGGTGGTTTACCCGGTGGAGACGGAGAGAATTACAAATTTTTGTACACATCAATGATTTGACGCGGAACAAATCATCATTGTTCGCGATCGTTTCGGTCGGACGGCGATCGATTGACCGGTGAAAACGAAAATAAATTTAGAGGAAACGGTTCGGCGAGTTTCACTTAGAGTCCGAACTGATCTTTCCGACTTCGGATTAATGAAAAGTCAAACCTAATCCGACCATCGACTGGTATATCGCTCTCGACCGGCTACTCGTTTGTACTCACTCGCAACGTGTAAACGTTAACAGCCAAGCGTTCGAATTTATCACCTAAAAACACTTCTTAAATCCAAAACGCGCTTAAATTACAATAACCTCGTTTAGACCAGTCTTCTCCTGCGGAATAAAAACCTTCGAACATTCGTCCACTGCAGATATTTCAGTTCATCAGTGTCACCTCCACAACGGGAGTTACCTGATCTGTTACAGACTCAATCAACTACTCATGACCACCGAAGTCAGGGGCGCATCCAGGATTTTTTTTTAGGGGGGCTAAATTCAAATAATTTTAATATTAATAGGTAGTATTTATTTTGAAATATGTACAGAAATCTTAAAGCTGCACACAATGCTGTTCATCAGAGTTTTCCGCAGTGTAAAATAGTTTGCTGTAAATTCCATTTAGAACAAAGTTGGTTCCGACGTTTCAGAAAAATAAAAGTTTATTTAAAGAATACTCAAATGATTCTTAAGTAGGAAGGTGGCTTAAATAAAATAATTTATATACTATAGTTGATAATTTTTTTTTATAATAATTTAAAGTCAAATGTCAATTGTCAATAAACCTAATAAAATTATCAAAATGTTTGGGGCTAGCCATTATGGGGGGGGGGGGCTAATGCCCGTTAGCCACCCCCTTGAGTGCGCCCTTGACCGAAGTCGCCGAAACACGATAAAAAATACTCCTCGGTTATGTTAAAATCAATTCTACAGTTATACAACGATGCATGACAAGTAATAGGGAAAACGTAATCAAAATAATAGTATGAACAATCGAATGATGTAGAAGGGCACCCAACGGAGCTATCTACTTTGAGTTCAGATGAAAAGGGAACTTCATACACCTAAATGATGGTCTCTATTCTAATTTTGTTTTACTTGTATTGACTGATCATTTAGGATATGTTATGTACCAAAGTGAATTATGTTTGTTATTGTCATAAGAATTTCCAACGAATTTTTTGGTAAAATATTTTTGAGATTTGATCGGCATGTTTAATTTGTAGATCAGAGTGCAAGGATTTATTACTTACACGTTCGGGACGTTTTGATTTGTATACAATTTGGTAACGTATACGTATGGATTGCAAAAATTGTATATTTTATATATTAATGGAATATTGGAAAAGCATTTCCCAATATTTAAATGAATTGCTAAATTTTAAAAGATGACTTCTGCATTATTTCCAAAAATGAATTGTTTGTATATTCACATAAATAATAGGTAGACAAGAGACTTGTACTGTGAATAACTATGATGTAATATAACGATAAATATTTCATTAAATGTTTAAAGGGAATTGCTGTGGCAAAAGTCCCGTTTCTACATAAAGTCGTCGAATCTATATAATCCTTATCCTTATATATGTTACGGTGAATGATATAAACGTGGTAAAAGACGTCATTCCCCGGTAAAAGACATCATTTACCTAAAAATTGGTAAACGTTGTAAATGCAGACATTCTCCGGTTATTGTCGTCAATCACCAGTTTAATTGGAGAACGATGTTTAATACTTTTATGTCGGTGTGAACGATCAGCTTCATTAGTTAAAAATATCATGATGGAAGTAGATAGATAAACGAAAATCCCAAATAGAAATAACGTCGATAACCCGAGTAATAATATGAGATAATCTTTTAGTTTATTAGTTAGTATCGACGGGTATATTATAGCGAGTTGTATTTGCTACGAATGTGTGTTTTATAATATTATTTGTAAAAATTTGTGTCACCAGTGAACAAAATATAATAAAAGTTAGATTCAGTTTTAGTATTTAAGTATGCAGAATAAATTTAAAGCCTAAAAAAATGTTCAAAGCTTGATGTCGCGACATGTCGGTACAACTGTTCGTATCCCAATACCAGATGTTGATAGAGCACGAGGTTCTCCGCGTAATTTACTTGCTGTTATTATTTCATACGAAGATGACATGAATAAATTATGTAAGCCAATTTTAATTTGATAATGTTTATTTAATTTAAGTAAAATAAATACCTGAATGTTTGAACCAGATACAGAATATGGGGTGTTGAAACACAAATATACACGAGCACAAATTTCTCCATGTAAAGAAAAATTTCTAGAGCTAGATGAAGCCATCAAAAAAATTAAAGACAGGGAAATAATATTAAGAGAAGCAGCAGGACATGGAATAGCTGGTCATCAAGGATTTAATCGATGCAACTGAAAAACTGGTTGTGGTACTAAAAAATGTGCTTGCAATGCAACGGAAATGTTGTGCAGTTCAAAATGTCATAGTAACCAAAATTGTACAAATAAATAATTTGTAATATGCACGTATTTTATTATTTTTTTATTTTAACAATAAATCATTATTATAAATAGTACATACCTATAGTAAAAAAACCAGTGTATTATTTGAAATTTATCATCATTTACCACTAGTTTTGGTAAATGACATCAATAATCGGTGAAATATGTACATTTGAATTTAAAATCTGGGTTTTTACATTATTTACCTACATAATTGAATCATTTTGGTAAAAGACGTCATTCACCGGAGAATGACGACATTCACCAATATTCATCTTTTACCGTAACATATGTATATAAAATAATAGGCCTTTTTTATGTACCAATTTTGTGACGACACTGTTTAACATTTATCCAATATTTTTCACAGAGTTGTTACATACCTTCTTGAGTATCACCACGTCATTTGATTTTACATTTTTTGTTGCAGGGGAAGGTGATTGGAGATTGTTTTTAAGGGTTACGATTTTTAGCGTACTATTTAAATAATTTAACGGTTTTTTGTCACAAAGTTGTACCAAATACTCCTACGAATGATCTATTATTCATAATTTAATTGTATTCCTCATATCAGTTATAACCGTGATGGATTACTTATATATTACTATATCGATACAGTTTTTGATGGTAAAGTATAGATACATTTTCCTACAGAGTTCTTAAATTAACAAATATTCTGGTGTGTCTCCGCATAAAATATCACTGAAGGTAGAAGTTTCAATTAGACTTTTTAATAAATAAATAATTAATAAATAATTAATAAATTCTAATAACTAGAAAATTTTTCTCCTAGGTTATGTTATAAGTCTAGGCTCCGAATCATCTTTTTTAAAAAAAAATGTAATTAATTAACAAATGAAGCTAATATTTTGATTGGATATGCTAAGGGAAGAAAAATATTTTTATTAAAATAACCATTATACCATAACGATTTTCCAGTTGAGTGTACGGTTTTTAGTGACCTAAACGATTTTTTCTTTCTCCTATAAAATTTGAAAATTGTCGAAAGTTTCCTTTTAAAATTCAGCGGTTCAAATATTGTCGTAAAATAACAGATGAATTAGCACGTGAAAATAAATAAACGTTTCACAGATTTTTTTCGAAAAAGTATGATATCTGTCAATCAATAAATAATAAAAATATAATTTATTTTTGTTTTTTGGATTATTTTTATCTGTTCTGTCATAACGCCTCAAACCGGAAAAATATGATTGGACCAATTGTTACTGAAAATCACCGATATCCGCTTAAATTGGGAAGTGGTTCTTCGACACGGCGTTAAACATCGAAGTACATTGTAAGACGTTAGTACGAACAATAAATGCGGTGTACAAGCACTTCATGTACATGAATGCATTAACAATGAAAATAACACGGCATTGTGTAGCTTCAGCCAACGGAAAGTATTTAAATGTATTACGTGCAATGCTTGATCAACAATCAAACGACTATAATATTATTTGAATGAAACTATAACATTTAATAATAATAATAATAAAATAATAACACAATTAATAAATAACAGGCTGGTGGATTTAAAAATTAACATTCCTTTAGCGTTCGAATATTTTTCGCAATATGTGCGGCGCACGTGTAACTTCACATCAAAATCGGTATTCGACACGTCGTCACAACACTTACACAAATTATCGACAAAGAGGATGATAGGGACAAGGATTTAACCCCCCCCCTCCCATGCTTCAGCCCGTTGGTTCATCCTGATCTCGAGTCGTCCGCGGATCACTCAGATCGTACTGCATATCATATAATATATAAATATGTATGTATGTATAGGGCGTGCGCTTCAAACGTTATACTCGTACATCGTGTGCACATATTACGATGTAAAATCATACGTTCTGCGAGAGACCGAACGTTTAAAAGCACCCGGATTCATGTAGTGTTAAACGAGTAAACTCAATTAAAATTCTATTTATAATTGTATGCGGAGGGGAATGGCTCGAGCGTCTCATTCATTAAGAACAGATTCCCGGACGACGGCGCAACATTTTTAAGATGGTATACACGTATACAAGAGTCGGAGTAACGCGGTGCTGCCGACACGTCAGATCCAGCATCGAGCCTGCGCCGGTCGTCCAATGACCAGAATTTTAATTAGTCGGTTGAACTTTACGCAATTTCACGCAGCTGCTTCGAGTGGTTAGCGAAATACGGCGCTATCGAAGTCGAGTACCACCGAATATTCAAACCGAACGTTCTGCCCAAAGACTGATGGGAAAAATTCAATTGAAGATGTTTATATATTATAGAATATTCGTGTGATTTGCAATGTTGTTCTCTTGGCGAAACGACCTTGATACGCACGTACGCGGGTCGGTAAACCGATGTACTAGCTGAACCACCTGGCAATTATCATTACTTTGATTTGGAATAATTCTTAGATCAATCAAAGTCCTCCACAACTATCGTATACCCGTAGTCTAGGTAATGATATTTATTTTTGTACAATACTAAGTTGCATGTACGATACACCTAAATCGAAATTGATAAGATCAACATAAGCGTTAAATAAAATACTTCCTAGGAAACCAAAAACTGAAAAATGCAGCCCACAACTGTTTCGATCCACAACAATGCGATTTTCTGAAAAAAAGAATTCTTTATGCATCTATACAAAATAATAAGCAACTGTTCAAATCAACAGGTATGATAGTTCTAGCGGTAAACTAATCGACGAGTGAGCGAGCGAGAGGTATTTTAGTTCTATATACTTGGGTTGTATAACATAACAGCCTCGAATTTATTTATCAATACCAGGTCGGCAGCATGATTTACAATCACTAGGTAGATAATCGATCATTTTCTTATATCCTTCACTCTGCTATAATACATAATTGGACACCAAACACTTGTGGCTGTTATAACGACGGATGGATATAACGGTACGCAGAATAAGCTTCCGTGTCTAAACAGAATGTACAAAATATGTAGATCTATTTGCGAGGAACGATTAATAAAATAACTATACACATATACAAACTATATATATATATGTATATATGTATATATGTATTTTGTCAAAAAGCCAAAGTATATAAATCAACATTAACGGAGGTCCGATTGCATTTATATCCATATTATCAAGATTATTAATTACATAACACTCACGTTGTGCCATGGGTATATTATGTGTTCAGCGGATCGTGTGTGGGTTTAATATACACGTCATCATCGAAAGCTGCAGTCGCACGGTGCCAGATTTCATCCCGTAATCTGTTCGTCCCTGCGGAGGAGCATGGACGCTGGAATAAGAAAAAAATAAAAATTAAAGAATACGAAAAAAGATACACGGCCAAACGATAAATTTGTCGCATTGACGGTAAAATACTCATGCGACCATCAACAATATTTGTTTTTACAATGTAAACATTTGTAAACGGTTTTTTTTTTTTATTGTTATTATTAAAAGCTATGTTTACAATCTATACAGAAAAGTGCAATAAGTAAATTGTATACATTTTAATAATGATAATAATAATGACTTGATTGGCTTGACGGAGAAAACCGTCCATTAAAAGTACCTCTTGTTTAATTAAGTGGTTTTTTTTTTTTTTTTTATTAAGCAAAGGCGTCTCTTGACCATTTTCTTTTTAATCTTCTTAGATCATTGTTGGAAATGGTTATAGAGGAAATACGGGAAATAATGTAAACAGTTTACAAGCGGTTTGTAACGTGATGGCTAAATCGCCGAAACGACCGCTATACGTTTCACGAATAACGTTAGCATTTTCTTCAAAACTGTTAAAATTATCGTGTAAACAGCTAATGTTGGAATATGACACAATGTTCAAAAAAGGTAAAATTTAGATTAATGTTAAGTATAACATTTAGCTAAAATATTTTAGTGTTTCAATTGTACGCACGTGGCATATTATCATACATACATATATTACCTGTATTTGCGAATTTCGTAAATCGATAAGTTTACTTAAAGACAATACATAGATTTTTAGAAGCCGCGTACAACTGCTAAAATACATATAAAATGCGTATTACCGAGTCCATAGTCAAAAAGTCGACTAAACCTTTGAAGACAACGAAACTAAAACGAAAGACAGGTGCATATCTATTTTTGGGCGAAGGAACAAATATTATATCAAACTATCAATGTCATACGGCGCGTGCCCTGGGTATACAGGACGTGCAGCTGCATATCGTACAAATAAATTATGCCAAGCAAGGGCGGATCCGAGGGGGGCGAATGGGGTGATCGCCCCCCCCCCCCTCGTTCACCGTAACAGACTTTAGTTTTTGACGTAATTACCTCAAGGGTAAATAGGGAAATCTTAAACTATTTTTTTTATACCAAACTTATGCTGGTACTATGTTATCACTTATATTTATTATTTGGTGATATACTGATATCATAGTTATATACTACTATCATGATGTTAAATATTCGTAACCAAGTTTTGTGTTTGTCGGTGTTTCCGAAACGTGCTAACTGATGACGACCAACGTAAAAATCGTTCAGTACCTCCATAATCAACACATTTGTAATTATAAACTCTATTGTTATGAGACATATTAGAAGAACTAAAAAAAATTATTATTATAATTACTACTGTAGACCTTGATTATCTGGGGCAATGGTGGGGAAGGGTCACACGGATAAACGAAAAACACGATTAATCGAAACTTTTTATTAAACGAATTATGAAAAAATTTATAATTTTATATCCATATTAAGTGTGTACAATATTATTTTCTCAATAACTGTTTTTGAAACGGCTATAACATATGCTAAAAATACACTAAATAATATGAAGCAAATTCGACAGACTTGAAAATTTCCCATATGTATTAGTTATAACGTGATTAGATAAATATGATTGATGAAGAACTTCTATTAGACTCTATTAATTTTACATAACTCATATCTACCTGTGACATATTTTTATCGTTGAAAAGTTCTTTTACGTTTTTCGATAATCTGTACATAATTTAAAAATACGTTCGTCCGACATGATTAAACTTTTCAGATGAACAATTTCGAGCGACGATAATTTTGGAAGACTGAGCACGGTTAATCGGGATCA